ATGTGTGTGTGTGTGTGTGTGTGTGTGTGTGTGTGTGTGTGTGTGTGTGTGTGTGTGTGTGTTGCAGATGAAGGAGGCGGAAAAGGCAATGACAAATCAAGCTGAAGTCTCTCTTGTCGTGGGATTGTTGTAGAGAAGCAGGGGTTTGTGGGTAAACATTGTCATGTTGTTGGAAGTTAAACATATTGTTAAAACACACCGAGAGAGGGAGACTTCCTCTGAGAGGGAGAGAGTTACAGAGGAACAACTCCCACCAGCATCACATCACTGAAAAAAAATACCCTGTTAATCTAGTTGGAAACTAAAATGGTGTTGCATAGAGAAATATAGTCATCTGAACAATAAGAAAGAGTTTTTTTATTCCAGTAGATGTGTGTAAATCGAAAAGATAATACATTTTGCAGCGTAGGTAGACCAAATGTTTGGAAATGCATGTGTCTGTAATAACAAGATGGATCCACGAGGATGTCAACAATCCCGTGGGAGCCATCAGGGAAGTAGTATGATGAGAGTCAGGCAGGACCACAGTGATAAAAGCTTTTGTTAACCATAGATCTCATTTCAGAGTCTAATCAAAAACACATTCACAAAACCGTTGAGTTCAAAATGAAGTAACCGTTAGTTGTACCAACAAAAAAAAAAAGACTCATTCCTGCACCTCTCTATGGCTTTAAGAGTCTTACTTCCTATCCTGCAGCCACTCTGTAAGAGGTTATTTCTCCAATTAGGGAATCTTATTTTGGGATGAAAGTGGTTTCGCTGGTCAATAGTGAAAGTGTCTCGACAGTGGTTTGCCCAAACAACAAGACAGAAATACTGCAAAAGGTCAAAGCTGCAGGGAACTGCTTTTATGGATGTGCAAATGTTTTATTGATCGTTCAGGATTGATATAGGGAAATACTGACGCACACAAACACATGGTTGTCAGGGAGAATACGGACATAACAGCAGGAGCAGCTGAACAATAAAAGTCCCTTCTGCATTCTGCACCGCTTGCATTGTTTCTGGGGACTAAATTGCATTTTCATCAAACGTTTCTCCCCCCTCTTTCCTCTCCAGGGAGGCCGCCAGAGAGTGCCGCAGGAAAAAAAAAGAGTATGTCAAATGTCTGGAAAACCGCGTGGCTGTGTTGGAAAACCAAAACAAGACCCTGATTGAAGAGCTGAAAGCACTGAAGGACATTTACTGCCACAAAGCAGAGTAGCGGTTTGTGGTCATGAGCTGAAGACAGTGGCGTTTACAAGCTGCGACAGCAAATAGAAACAAAAGACTGGAACTACTTTGACCGTGTCTGCTCACTCAGGCCTGGTTCAAGTGTTTCGGGGGGGATTTAAACAGCTGGAGCTGGCCGGTTTTCGCTCTTGTTCGTATCTTGTGCTCTTTGCATGTGAAGACTCAAGTGTCGTTGATGTTGCTTTTGTGCACCGGCCAATGAGAGCCAGCTGACGAAGAGGAACAGGAAGAGGAAATACATGCGCTTCCTCAGAATGTACCGTTTAGAGTACAGAGATTAACGGAAAAACATTGGCGAGTCAGCCAAGGTCGCTCTACCAGCAGTTTCTCTGAGGAGACGAGGTGCCACTATCAGCTGCAACTCATCCCTGTTTTCCTGATCAAATCTGCAGCATTTACGCTTCTGTTCGTGGCAATTCCATGCATTCCTTCACGCTAAAAAGCAAGAAATGTCATTTAAGTAACATTTTCAGTTTTCAGAGACGTTTTTGATTTGGTTTCAAAGAATAAAAGAATATTTTTAGCAGACGACACAGAATATAATATATTTTAAACAAATAGAAAGGGGCATTATCTGAATCAGAAGTTATTTTAAAGTGAGTCGATTGTTTAGAAATGACAAGAGCACAACTGCCCTTGAGTCAAAGCACAGAAAGTACCAAAGCGTCCGTGTGGATATTACCAGAATGTATATTACGTTTATTTTAAGAATTTCACTCCACAAGTTTATTGTATATTCTGCAAAGCATCAGCTCGTTTTACTGTCATGCAAGCTTCAGTCTTATTTTTCAAATTATGGATATCCATTGTGTTTTAAAACTGTATTTGATTATGGCTGGATATTGAAATGCTCTGTTTAAAGGGTGATGCCAATTTTTCTCTTTTTTTATGTAAAGACATTTTATTTGAATGATAATATCCTCTTGTTTTCCTGTTTCTGGTGATTTTGAAAAGTGCTTGCTTTCTCTGTTTCTATAGTTGTTGAGTTTGTTCCAATAAATATATTTTATTGAAGAAAAAACACCTCCTAATGTAACAGACGATCTCTTACGACTGCCAAAGCTCTTTTAGTGAAAGACAAGTCTTTAACTACAGTTTGTCTCGGTGACAACACAGTGATTCATCCTGTGGTCGTCTTGTTGTGTAACAACCAAATGACCGGTACGTTTTGTATTCACAGATAAATAGCCATTTTGCGAAAGTCTACGAAAACACAGGTGATAATACAATTCAGGTCTTTTCTTTGATATTAACTCGGTCAAGCTGATCTGGTTGAGGATTCTTGCTGTTTCAACCCAGTTGTTCTCCTCTCAGTTTACTTCCTTGTTTGAATTGTAAAACCAAAACTTATTTTTTTGTTTGTCAAATAAAATATTCAAATGTGACATCACTGTGACTTATTGCTCACCCCACACTCAACACACTTTTTACTGCTTTTTATTCATTCTACCGTGTTGTGTAGGCTGTACTGTTTTTATTTTGTTCCATGCTAAATGCTTGTAGCACTTCGGGATCTGAACTCAGATATGAAGTGCGTTATAAATCAAACACATTATTATTATTATTAGTCGTCCTCAAATTAAAGGTAGGGTCAGGGCCGTCCCTCCCTACAGGCCGATCATGCAGACTGCGTGGTGCCTCACCTTGCGGAGGGGGCCTTACCTTGCTTAGGGTGCCTCAACTGAGCCGAAAATGCGGCGTACCTTAGTGTGGCGCGGCATGGTTTCACCGCTGCGAGGCTCCACTAGCCCCCCGTCGACGACGAGGCTCGCGAAACAGAGGCTCGCGAAACAGAGGGCCTCATCATATAACTTTGCGTGGGGCCTCATGTTGGCCAGGGACGGGTAGGGTAGGTAATTCACTTCAGATACACTTGTTGTTATATTCCATGGAATGCTCTTAACATCCCGATAGCAATGAATAAATGAAATGCTTTGACAATAAATACATAAAGAAATGTCATCTGTGGAAGCCGTAGCGCTGTAAAAAGCACGACCAATCATCTGAGCCGGCCCGGCTAAAATAACTGGATGGCCTACCTGCCTGTCAGCCTTCCATCTGTGCACAAACTTATCTCGTGCCCTCATTGGTCATGTGCGCGTCCGTGTGTGTTGGAGGAGGGGCTCTGTCAGGAAGTCTGAAGGAAGGGGCAGATTTGTATCGGCTGCGTATTTTCAAATTCTAGCGCACTCGAGCTGGTTTCTCCATTCTTACCTACCCTACCTTTTAAAGGGATTAAAGGCAAAGTTGGCTAAGAAATGTTTTGTTGAAAGATAGTTTCAGGATTTGTTGTAGGCTACTTTTAAAATGAAAAAGTTATGAAAAGTTAGAATGTGTTTCCTATATTGCATCCTGACTTAAAGATTAAAGATGAAATGTCATGAATGAATATAGTGGAAACGTTTTTGACTACACTCAATTAAAGTAGCTTTTTAGGGTTTTCCCCTTTCCTGTAGTGTGTATAGGTTTCCGTGCATGTGATTTTGAAAGGATAGACTATTCAATAAAGTTGACTTTGACTTCTCTCATGTTGAAGCCCCGTATTCAAGATTAAAGACTTACACCTTTAATACCCAAAATGGAAAGGAAAATAGACGTCAACTTTATTGGAAAACACTCACAGTCTGCAACACAGCATTTAGCATGGACTCATTTGACCTCTATTAACCCCCATTTCCATTCTTCTTTTAAAGCTCAATACCCTCATAGAAATAAGGCCACAGTCACCCCACACACAGTAAACACAGGTAAAGTACGCACTGTTGTTCCTGCATAGTGACTTCTTGCATGCTTAAGGCGGTGCAGTAACCTATGTCAGTACAGACTGTAGAAGCATGTTAACGTTTATTTTGTCTCTTCTTACACCAGTGTAGCTCAATAAGTTCCATGTTAAAAGGAGACACAACCTTTGGCTTTTACTTTGGTACTCTGCGAACAAAGCATCCCATTGCTCAACGTCTGTATCGCTTCATTTCTCACCGAATGGGATTGGAAGGAAAACCAACATTTCATAAACCAGTGAAATTAATGTTTGAAGGGCATGCACATGAGAATGAGTAGTTTCCATAGCAACTCCTGGTGATAAAACATTGACCTCGAACTCGTGTTGACTCACATTGATGTGTTTCTCCATCTCATAGGTGCACATGATCCCTCTGCATAAACACAATGTATCATGTTGTCATGTATACATATTGTATATACACACACACACACACACACACACACACACACACACACACACACACACACGATACACTGCATGGAGACAAACTGCAAAAAGAAAACTCTCACACACACACACACACACACACACACACAATACACTGCACGGAGACAAACTGCAAAAAGAAAACTCACACA